GGACGCGGGGCTCAAACTCACGGACCGCGAGATCGTGACCTGGCTGAAGTCGGACGCTTAACCGACTGCGCCACCCAGGCGCCCCGATTCTGAGTAAAGTCTTACACATTGCTGCGCCATATTGGTTATAAACAACAGGTGAATCTTGGTGGTAATAAGTTGGTAAATGGGTAAGTCTGAGGAAAATAAGGGGTGGTAGCCTAATGAATTCTTCATCGAATTATGTAGGTGGGAAGTGGACAACGTATCGCTCTATGGCAGAAGATACCATAAATGCTGCTATCAAGACTCACGATCTGAAAGCAGGGCCAAGCAGAACGGTTGGGCTTTTCCTTCAAGGAGGCAAAGATTGGAGCCCCACACTCTATATTCGGCTTGTCCAGGATTACGGCCTTGAAAGTGAGGTGGGTGTGCATCGTCCTACCCTTTACCTGCGCTCACCGTTGCCACTAACAGAACTGGCAACCAGGAGGCCTCCCCGATTTAGAATTTCCTTTTGCTGGGTCTGTTTCTGTCTGCATAACGATGGAAGTGAACTAAGGAAAAGAGCTGAAAAGGCAGTGCCCATACGAGTTTCTATTTTAAAATCCGGAGTTTCTTTGGTTTGTTCTCCACAGACAGAGCCTCCCACATTTTTCTGTCTCGAGCCTGAGGAAGGCGGTTCTTCACAAGTGATATTGCGGGCAGAGTGAAGCCGAAGCTTCATCCGTCACTGATACAGTGATACATGTGTGGCAGAGTTAGTGCTGGCCTAAGCATTCAGAGCCCAAGTGGTTTCCTCCCACAAAATCAAAACCTAATACCCTCCTGGAACTATTAGTTACCGGCTGTGAAAAACTGACAGGATAAGCGTGTGCAGTTTTTGCTCTGTGCCGAGAAGTATTGGTATTCAAGGTACCCGCCTGTTGGGGTTTTGTTTCCCTAGGTTGCACAGCATCTGGCCGCCACCTATGGGGACAAGGCTTTTGAGGTGGCCAAAATGGCAAGTGTAACCGGAAAAAGGTGGCCTATAGTGGGAGTGCGTCTTGTGTCAGAATTTCCATACATTGAAGCAGAGGTACGTGAATGGCCGTGTGGGAATTTCTGGTCTGCCCTGGGATCCCCCTCACCTGCTCATTTTCCATCTCCTTTAAAACTTCTGTGTAGCTACGTTTCAATGCCCACTTGCCAGCCCAAACGGTTATAGCGACACGTCTTCCTGGCACAGATCCTTTCGTTTATAAACTTAAATTCTGAACTGATACTGAAATGGTAACAATCAAAAGAATAATAGACAACACGGTATGATTTGTTCCTCCTCCACAGACCCATCCCACACGAGCCTTCTTACTTCACAGCTGTGTGCCCCATCTGTAAATCTGTAACTCTTCGAGTTGTTTCCACTCGTGTGCTGCCTGATGACATATCCTGATATGGCCCTTCACTTCTCAAAGATTGAAGCTTTGTTTCTCATCAGGTTTTTACATTTTGTGAAGCCAGAGGCCGCGCCTTATTTATGATTCATTGTACTTTAAAACATGAATGTCCAGTAAGCCTTTGCTTGTTGATTGGATGCAGGCCTTCCATCATCTGCATACTCTGAGACAGAAAACTTTGGACAGCTAAGGAGAGGAGACCATACTGTTTAATATTCTTTGCCTTGCTGGTGACATAAATTAGCATCCATATTAAGCACTAGCAAAGAGGAGAGTGATTATTATGGATGGTAAATGAGAAAGGATGCAGTCTGCATGTTTGGGCCAGGTTCAATTCGGTAGGAAGGCATTAAGTCTTTTCCACTTTGTCCCAATTTGTGAACCTCCTTTGGCAGGCAGATGGGGAACCTGTATGATGTCGTCATTTGTCTCATGCCTGCTAGAGAACCAGAGTATATAAAGAGCAACGTCACTTCTCTAAGTGTGAATTTTCTTAAGTGAAATTTTATGTCTTCTTTTTAAGAAAAAGCCTAAACTAATAATTTTGCTTTAATTTAAATTCAGGTGAAATACGGGATTAAGGAGTATGCCTGCACGGCAGTGGATATGATTTCACGGCGTACTCGCCTGGCTTTCCTAAATGTCCAGGCCGCAGAGGAAGCCCTTCCCAGGATTGTTGAACTGATGGGCAGAGAACTGAATTGGGATGATTATAAAAAAGAGGTATTATATAGTGGTTTTTAAAACCCTAGTTCCTAATATAAAGATTTTTATTTTGGGGTGCCTGGTGGTTCGGTGGATTAAGCATCCCACTTTGGCTCAGGTCACGGCCTCACGGTTCATGAGTTCAAGCCCTGCATTGGGCTTTGTGCTCAGAGCCTGGAGCCTGCTTTGGACTCTGTGTCTCCCTGTCTTTCGCGCCCCCCCCCCCCTCACTCTCTGTCTGTCTGTCTCTCTCTCAAAATTAAATAAACACTAAAAATTTTTTTAAGAAAGACTTTTTTTTTTTTTATTTTATTATTTTATTTTAGAAAGAGGGAGAAGAGTGCAAGTAGGGGAAAGGGACAGAGAGAGAGACAGAATCTCAGGCAGGTTCCATGCTCAGCACAGAGCCTGACATGCACCTGGGATCATGACCTGAGCTAAGATCAAGAGTTGGATGCTCAATGGACTGAGCCACCCAGGTGCCCCACCACAGCTCCTGTTATAGCATGTGATGTCTTGGTCTGTTCATAGAGGCTAGCATGGTTTTCAGTGGTAACTTTAGATTTCTTGCCAATTAATATGTGGGAGTGTGTTTTAATATTGCTAGGTCTTAGGAAACGGCAAAGATATTCTGGTTTCAAAATGTGTTGGTTGATTCTGGAAAATCCCTTACAGAGAAAAATACTCTTAAATTTGGTGGTCATAATTCCTGAAAAAGTAGGATAATAATGATTGTGGGTAGAACTTTTTCTGGTTTCCACTGAAAACACTTTTAGAATGTATTCTATAGTGAAATTCACACTTTTGCAAATTGGCCTTTGGTAGGAAATAGCGGTTTTACTGCCTGACCACTAAATACTTATTGATTTGTGTCATTTGGAATTTTATATCCAGATTGAAGAAAGAAAGCCAGTGATGCTCACATGCCCCCATGTACTACCCTGGGCTTGTTGTGATAAGTGGAAGATTATCATGTGTTTTAGTTAAACCCAACTAGTATAATATGCAGAGGCATTCTGTGTATTTAATAAAAAAATACACTTTCTGTACTCATTGGTTCAGTCCCTTTCCCGTAAGCCTTCCTTGAACCCAATTCATTTAAGCTTGTTGTTGCCACTTTGCTGTAGTAGCTGTGATCACACTTCCCTATGGTTTCCATGTTGTTGCTCAGTACAATATACTCGTGAGTTCTCGGTCCTCCTGTTACCCATGCAGTTAGTGACATTGACAGAGTTGATTCCTCCCTCCTTCCCAAACTACTTTCTGGAACCCTATCTGTCTTAGTCTGTAATAGTCTGCTTTTACAGAATACCACCCACTGGGAGGCCTAAACAATGGGCATTTATTTCTCTCGATTCTGAAGGCTGGAAGTCTGGTTTGGAGTGCTCTTCCTGGCCTTCGGAGAGCTGCCTTCTTGCTGTGTCCTCACATGGAGGACAAGGAGGGAGAAAGGGGAACCCCATCCTCAAGACTCATCTAAACCTAATCACCTCCCCCAAACCCCATATCCGAACACCATCACATTTCGAATTAGGCTTTCAACCTATGGCTTTTGGGGTAACCGTTTAGTACATAACCCCATCTCTTGGATCTCTTCCTACCTCCCCCAAACCATGACCACCACTACTACTAACCTCTCCATGTCAAAAAAGCTATTCCACATTCTGGTTGCGTAAGCCTAAATCTTAGTATCATACTTGATCTAAATCCATCAGCAAACCATATCATATTTATCTTTAAGTAATGGCTTGAATTCAGTGCCCCCTTAACACGTTCAGCTGCTAGAACCCTGATTCCAGCCACTAGCATTTCTTCCATGGTTTATTATAATAGCTTCCCTCCCACAAAACGGTGTTCTTACTTTAGCAACTCCTGTGCTTCTATTAAAATATACGCCAGATCATTGGCTGTGTCAGTCCAAATGAAGTTCAGAGGGGAGGTCTGAACTGAAGATATAAAAAGATATAAATTGGAGTTGGCATTTAAGCCATCATGCTGGATGAGATCAAATGGGGAGTTTGTGTAGTTAAATAACAGCAAGCTGTCCAGAGACGGCCCTGGAGCTCTCCAGAGTTTCAAAGTTGGATACATTGGGGCACCCGGGTGGCTCAGTCAGTTAAACATCTGACACTTGATTTTGGCCGATGTCATGATTTCACAGTTTGTGGCCTCGAGCCCTGCATGAGGCTCTGTGCTGACTGCATGGAACTTGTTTTGGATTTTCTGTCTCCCTTTCTCTCTGCCCCTCCCCCACTCTCTCAAAAACAAATAAACATTAAAAAAATTTATAAAGAGGCCTGGGTGGGTCAGTCAGTTAAGTACCTAGTTTTGGCTCAGGTCATGATCTTATAGTTCATGAATTTGACCCCGAGTCGGCTCTGTGTTGGTGGTGCGGAGTCTGTTTAGGATTCTCTCTGTCTCTGTCTCTGTCTCTGTCTCTGTCTCTCTCTCTCCCCTTTCCCCACTGGTCCTCTCTCTCTCTCTTTCAAAATAAATAAGTAAATAAAGGTAAAAAAAAGAAAAAGTTGGGTAGATATGGAAGACTCCCCAAGAAAGGGAAAGTGATAGCTAGCAAGGTTGGAGAAGGTGTGAAAAGACTAAAAACAGAGTTGCAGCCCAGAAGGAAGGGAAGAAAATATTTCAAAAAGAGAAAAGTAATCTACTATATCAAATGATGCTGATAGACTAGTAAGATGAGGACCAATCATTAACAATTCCTGTGCTGAAACACCCTCTCTTTTACTAAGGGTAAAGCCAAAGTCATTACAGCAGTTTACAAGATCATTGTGATCTGGCCACCACCTTTCTGAACCCTCTGGTCTCATCATTCATCCACTCGCCTGCAACCCACAAATTAAGTTGCTTTTCCTTATTCAAGCCCTGCTGATCCCTCTCCCTGCAATGTTCCTTCCTAGATACCCTCATGGCCTATCCCTGAACTTCCTGCTGGTCTCTGCTACAAAGAGGCCTTCCTTAACTGGCTTGAATAAAAGAGTACTACCCACCCTTCTGAATGGCATTTTCTCTCCCTCTCCCTATTTTATCTTTCTCTTGGGCACCTATTCCCATTTGAAATACCACGTATTTAGTTTATTTATTTGTTGTCTGCCTCTCATCCAGGAAATAAGCTTTCCAAAGGAGAGGAACTGATCTGCTTTGCTTCTGTAACCTCAGTAACCAGCCACGGTAGGGCCTGAATAAATAACTGTTGAGTGAATGAACATAACAGAGCATCTGTGTCATAGGCCACAGGTGTAAGAAAGGATTGGACATAGGTGCTGTCCTTAAAGTGTTCTCATTCTGGGCTGCCCGGGTGGCTCAGTTGGTTAAGCGCCTGACTTCAGCTCAGGGCATGATCTCACGGTTTGTGGGTTTGAGCCCCACGTCTCACTGTGTGCTGACAGCTCAGAGCCCGGAGCCTGCTTCAGATTCTGTGTCTCCTTCTCTCTCTGCCCCTTCCCTGCTCACTCTCTCTGTCTCTCTCTCTCTCTAAAAATAAATAAACATTACAAAAAAAAAAGCATTCTCATTCTGGTGTATATTCCCAAAGGTGGTTACATATCACAATCCCCTGGGAATGTAGCAAAAAAGAACAGATTCTGAGACTTGACTAGACTCTCAGAGTCAAGGTCTCCAGGGGGGAAGCTGTGGCCCTACATTTAAAAAATTTCCCGTAGTAAATTTTTTAATAGTAAATGTTTTCTTTTAAATTTGTTTTGTTTTGTTTTTCTTAATGTTTATTTTTGAGAGAGACAGAGAGAGAGAGTAGTGGAGGGGCAGAGAGAGAGGGAGACAGAGGATCTGAAGCAGACTCTGTGCTGTCAGCGTGGATGTGGGGCTTGCACTCACGCACCATGAGATCGTGACCTGAGCCAACACTTAACCAACTGAGCCACCCGGGCACCCCATTTCCTGTCATTTAAATGCAATGTCTGTAGCGTACTGATGGTGGAAATCAGTGGCTGAAGAGTTCCTGAACTCGAGCGCAAGTCTGCCAGAGATAACCTTTACCCCCCATTTTGTAGTTGAGAAAACAGGCTCAGGGAGCAAGTTCAGTCAGAGTTCATACAGCTAGTAAGTCGAGGAACTGGGACCGAAACCAGGCGTACACTCTCTCTCCACCTTGTTCTGTTGCCTCTGCATTGGCAGGACTGATTGTAGCTCTTCCAGTTTTGAGTTTTAATTTGTTCGACTAAAGCTACATGCAGAGACGATGCAAGACTGAAACTTGCTCCTTTGCTAATGCCAATCATTTTTACCGTATAGGAGGACTGGGGATAATGTGTTCCTGTAAAAATTATGGTTGGAAAGATTTGAATATGCAGGAAGATATCTTGTGCCAGGAATTCAGGCTGTAGGAGGTAGGAAGGAGGAAGAAAATTCTGTAAACTGGTTGTGTTTGGCCTTCCCTCCTGAGGAAACTAGATTTAACTTCAGTTCAAGTTTTATGTGTAAATTCGTGTACTCAGAGATATTCTCCCATCCCCCTCAATAAAGTAACAGAAATAAAAGACCTAAAGTTATTGTCTAGTATCTGAGCCGTAGGAGTATTAATGAGACCTGTAGACAGTCTAGAGAGAACAAAAGAGAGGGAGAAAAAGAATTAAAGGTTAGAAAGCTGGACTTCTGAGAAAAGGTTAAAAGCATTGGGATTATTTAACCTGCAAAAGTGAAAGTGGAACAAGGTGATAAATAACTCTCTGTAGATGAATTGTGGTTGTTTTTATCAGTCAATACTTAATGAGTGACTCATACACTGAGCATGATACCAAATACTTTAGGGGAATAATAAATAGCTCATAGTTTCAAGGATCTTGGGATCTAACCGAGTGGTTGCAACAAATATATACATCAGAAATGTGCCTTTCTTCCAAAATGTAGAGAACACGGTCATTCAAGATCAAATCCAAACAAATTGGGAGAATGGGTTAGGGAAGAAGACATTGTCTAGGGGAGTTAAGGATTGGTAGAGGAACTGGTGGGGACATTTGGAAAATGGGACATGGCCAAATGTGTTCCACAAGGTGTGAATCAAAAGATGACCAAGTGGGCAAAAGAGTTTGGGAAATTCTGAGTTAAACCCATGAAAGCATGTTCATTAGTGCAGATAATTTGGTGCCTTCAGAATGCTTCTATGCCTTGCCACTTTCCAAAAGGGAACTTATCCAGAGACAGACCCAACTCTTGCTCTTTGGAAGGGCCGGTGGGAGGGATACTAGTACTACTTAGGATGTGTTTTGGGAAACGCTGACCTACTATTTGGTAAGGTAGATTTTATACCTTCAGAGAAAACACACATTTCATCGAGAGACTTTGAAGAGAAGGCCAGTTAAGTCAATGGAGAGTGCCTCACAAAAAGAAATTCTTTCAAATTTGATCCTAATGAGGAGGAAAAAGGGGAAGTCAATGAAGAAATGGAGTGACTCAGAACAAAGGCAGCTGATAAACACCAGATTTAAAACAGATGGAAGACAAGTGCTCTGCAGTGAGAGGGTATCCAGGACTAATGCAGACGTATGAATAGTGTCAGGAATTGGCTAAATGTTGGGAAAAAATACTAAGGACACCCGAAATGAATTTTACAAATGGAAAAGAATGCATGTAAGACCTAAGCTAGATCATTGTTTCGATATAAAAGCAATGCACAGAAATCAATTGCATTCCTATACACCAATAATGAAGCGACAGAAAGAGAAATCAAGGAATCGATCCCATTTACAGTTGCACCAAAAACCATAAAATACCTAGGAATAAATCTAACCAAAGAGGGGAAAAATCTATATGCTGAAAACCATAGAAAGCTTATGAAAGAAATTGAAGAAGACACAAAAAAATGGAAAAAGATTCCATGCTCCTGGATAGGAAGAACGAATGTTGTTAAAATGTCGATACTACCCAAAGTGATCGTTGTTTCAAGTGCCCAGCACCATTTTCTTGACTGCTGGAGAAAAGGGAGAACAATTCAACTCATAGTTTAATACCAAATTCCTTTCCTTCTTTTTTTGTCAAGGAGAATGATTTTCAGTGTGAAGAGAGCAAAATAAATATTGGTAAGAGGAAATAGATATTCAAATAGGAGGCTGCTCTAAATGAGTTTACATGCCAGGCCAGAAAAAATTCTATCTCTGGGTACTCAGAGAATTTGCAGATGGGATTATTTAACTAGCGTTGAGCTGTAAAATATTGTGGCAGATAAGAACAGAACCAGAAGACAGAAGGTGGGCAAATGTAGTACAAAATCCAAAAAGGGAAAGGAAAGAAAAAGACGGTTTGTAAGCTGGAAGCCAGCAGGAGAATGACATGACAAAGTAAGAAAGACAGCATTCTCGACAATTGTTCCTATCTGCTGAGGCTGGGGACATTGCAAAGTGTCAGAGCAACCGTTCCAAGAGCTTGTTTGTTGTCATGACTCTAACTTCCACCCAACTATCAGCCTCCTTGTTAACAAACCTTCAGAGGAGCTGATCCCATGATGCCCGTCGGTGATGCTGTGTGCCACGTTATAGTAGTTGTTTGTCACCTGGATAGCGTTTTCACTTTTAATTGCTTTAGTTGTCATCAAATCACAAGGAGTTGGTTCTATAGATTTTGTTAGACAATACTGTGTAAGAATATCCTGCAGTAAGAAGAAACAAAATAGTAAAACAAAATAGTAACAGCATGAGTGATTCTCGGAATTATTATGCTATGTGAAAGCAGTCAAGCACAAAAAAAACTGCATACTATTTGGACCCTTTTACGTGAAATTCTAGAAAAGGCGAAAAGAACTCTGGAGACAGAAAGCAGATCAGTGATTGCCTGAGGCTTGCAGGTCAACTGAAAAAGGGCCTGAGAGGCTTCCTAGGGGGATAGAAATGTTCTGTACCTTGCTCGTGGTAGAGTATACACCAAACTGTATATGTAAAATAGGTGCACTTTATTGAATATGAATTATACTTCAGTAACACTGGCAGAAATAAAAAAAAAAAATTGTGCCGGTCAGAAAAGTGAGAAAGAAACAAAAACGAAAAAATCAATAATTCTTTCCATAAATCTTTGAACTTCGTATATGTCTGTGTTTTAGGAGGAACTTGAAACAGCCAGGAAGTTTCTGTATTATGAAATGGGCTATAAATCTCGATCAGAACAGTTAACAGATCGCTCTGAAATTAGCCTCCTGCCTTCAGACATCGACAGGTACTTCTAATAAGTTTCTATATCTCTCAACTTGACTTGACCTACGTGGGTATATTTTTCCAATGTTCAGTGTTGTGTTCCAGGTACAAGAAGAGATTTCATAAGTTTGATGCAGACCAAAAGGGCTTTATTACTATTGTTGATGTTCAGCGTGTGTTAGAGGTAATATGTTTTTGTTTCCATATCCTTGCTAGCAGAAAAACGTAAATGTTATATTAGATTATTTTTTCCTCATCTAGTGCTTTCTGTAAGTAATTTTGTCTTATAGTTTTTGAAAAGTTGATAGTATTAATAAAAGGGTATGCATAATTTTTAACTAAACCTCATCACGTCATGCTTTCTTTTTATTTAGAGTATCAATGTCCAAATGGATGAAAATACACTACATGAAATTCTGAATGAAGTAGATTTAAACAAAAATGGACAGGTTGAACTCAATGAGTTTTTGCAGGTGAGCTGTGGTGAAGGGAAACAAGTTTATTTGCTTTTTATATTTTGGTTGTGAGTGGCTGTTTGAGAAAGGATTCTTAAGTCCACACAGTTGTCACTTCATTCTGAAAAAAGGAAAGCTTGAAGCCAGCAAAGGCTGCTATGTCTGCCCTCAAGGATCCAGCTCTTTCTTTCTTTCTTTCTTTCTTTCGTTCTTTCTTTCTTTTCTTTCTTTCTTTCTTTCTTTCTTTCTTTCTTTCTTTCTTTCTTTCTTTCTTTCTTTCTTTCTTCCTCTAAGAAAGTCTGTTGTGTTAAGCAATTTAGAATCAATCCAAGTTAATTATGGCTTAAAGGACTGAATAAAAAGTATGCTTTTTAGAGAAATATACCATGGAACACCACTGACAAACCATTCGTTACCTGCTTCAAAAGAGGCAAACGCAATATTTCTAATGTGGAAAGTAATTTTTTTTATGAAGTTAAAAAAAACAACTCATAGTTGTATTGATTTGAGAATGCTCACTAGAGCACCGGAAATGTAATCATCATATTCTTACATTATATAGAGAACCTGAAAAGAAAAGAAAGGAAACCTGTATTCTGGGGTCAGGACCACATAATTCAAACATTTCTATTTCCAGCGTTCCACCTTCTCAAGGCTCAATTATTCAATCGTAGCCATGAAGGAAGTAAATTTTGTTATTCTAATTTCAAACCCGATGCTACACATCATTCCTTAAAAGTTCTTTAAAAGAGAGAAATTTAACAAACCCATGCATTATTTGTAGCTGTCCATAGGACTCTGATCATATGAAGAATACATTGTTTTCCAAGCAGCCAGGTTTTTTTCTGCAATGCTTCTTGGGCAGGTATTTCAAATGAATGCCAGGTCTTGCTCGCACCCTGGCAATGATGAATGCTGAACATGAAATAAATTAATGCTGGGGATTTTGGTCAATGTCAGCCCTTTCTTCACTGTGTCAAGTTAAACAAACAATATCAAGGCAAAGGAAATGGTAATTGTCTCTCTGGAGATGAGCTGCAGATAAGAGCATTGTTGAATCTAAATGCAGAAAATTTTCACAGGTTGTGTCCAGCATTACAAAAAAGAATGTTTAGTTTTTTAGCTTACTATTTAACTAAGTGCACATTTGAAATGGAGTTTAAAATATAACCTGGGGAATTAGAAACCATATAATATATTTTTTGTCTGTTTTTTTTTCCTTGAGAATATTTTATTGTTTTTCTCAGAATTTTAGAAAACTTTTCTTCAAAGAAATAGCTTATGCTTCAATTCATGTATGTTGTAAATAAACAACAGCATTTAGAGTTGAAAGATCTGGAGTTTTAGAAACAATGAGAATCTAATTTTATGGATATGCTATGTGGTTTGGGTTTTAAGTAATTTTCTTGAGTGCAATAGAGTCAAACACATAGAAAATAATTTAAACCATCTGCAGGTTTCCTTGTAGAGTTTTTAAATAATTATTTCTTGTCCAATTCTAAATGAAAGAGACTATTCATGTTTCTACTAAGTATAAATACACAGTGTAATTTTCAACTTAAAAAATGCTGACCGTATTTCTCATGAAATATATTCACACCCAAATGTTATTTTTTTCTCATAGTATGGTTTCAAGATACTTGTAATGTTTAAAGAAAACTTTGAATTTTTAAAGGTTTGTACATCATATAATATTTATGGGTAAAGAAAAAACCAACTCTATCAGTTTTGTTAGCTCCGATAAACTTAGAAGGTCTTCATGGAACCAGAGACAAAACAATAAACAATAAATTGTTCTGTCTTTAGATGTCAGCATTCTTTATGCTATATACCATTTGTCAGATGTAAAGTATGTTTTTCAGGGTTTTGTTTTGAATAAAATATTTTCTTTTCTGATGATAAAGAACCCATGTTTGTCCCATTAAACATCTTTTTGAATATAGATATGTTTTTCAATAATCCCTAGGAAGGATCACTATAGATAGTGCATGGCTACATGACTTTATTTTTGGGTTTGGGCTCTAATGACGCTCTACATGTAGGAGTCCATTTCTAATAAGCAATGGCTTGTGAAACAGCTTTTAATAAGGTCATGAAATTGTGATCCAGCCCCTTGGCAGATGCCTCTGACTCTTATTCAGAGCCATTTTTAAGAAATGTATCTCTGTAGGCTAAAGACTATAAACCCTAAAAATATTTGAGAATATATATATATATATATATGTATATGTGTGTATACACACACACACACACACACACACACACATATTCATTTCCTGATGAATGGCTAAATCCATTCTTTTTCAAATAAATAAATAAAAAAGATTGGGGAAGTGAGATCAAGAAAAGCAAATAGTTAAAACCACATCAACTTGAAAAGGAAAAAAAAAAAATCCCCGTGCTCATAATTGCAAAGTGCCTTCCAGATTAAAGGCCTTTGCCCGCTGACTGCATGTAATTTCAAGACTAATTCTGATTTTATCCATTGGATAAAAATGAATTAACTAAAATCTGGGCTGTGGAGTGCTTTTAATTCTTAAGGTAGATCTCTGGGTCCATTTCAAGGACTTAAATGTAAATTACTTTAAAAAGTCTATAAGGAATTTGGATTTAAGGGACTTGAAGTTGTCAAGTACAGTAACACTAAAAAAGAGTAGTTAAATATAGGTCATGGTTTGTCTTTGTTCAATCGCTGAGATTCCTTTTTAAGATTTTTAAATGAAATTAAAGATCCAATATTTGAGTTGTTCAAAAAAATATGGGCCCTGACCACATTAAAGGGGCAAAAAGTGATGCATTTGATTTGCATTTTAAAGGCAGCCCGATTTGCCAGATAGGCATAGTGTTTGCAGCGGTGGTGAAATACCTTCCCCTTTCCTCCTGTTTGAAATGTTCAAGAATTGTATTCTTGTGATTTGAGCTGTAATACCTACTATGGTTTTGGACGGAGCACTTAGTCACGTCTGCCTGCTGCAAAGGAAACCATTAAAATGCTGTGAAGAAGGGAGTAAGCGTGCCTGCCTCCTGAATCTGTTGCATGTTTTGTCTTTAAGCTGATGAGTGCTATTCAGAAAGGAAGGGTGTCTGGAAGCCGGCTTGCTATACTCATGAAAACTGCAGAAGAGAACCTCGATAGAAGAGTCCCCATTCCAGTGGATCGAAGTTGTGGAGGATTGTGAGTCTGGGCAGTAAATCCACAGCCAACAAACACGGGAGCAACAAATCATCACGTAAAACCAGAGATGACTTAACACCACTCCAAAATAGTGGATATGGATAGCTGCCTTTTTTTTTTTTTTTTTTTTTTTTTTTTTTTTTTTTTTTTTTTTTTCTTTAACACTGGGAAACATTCCAAAACTTTAGGATGTTGGTGTATACCCTTTATTTGTATTCACCATTCAATCTAGCTTCTAAAGAGTGCATTTTATCTTTTTTCTCATTTTCAACACACATGGATTTAGTGTTTTGCATCCATTTTGTAACCTGTTAGACCAGACATACTCCCTTTTTTGTTTGTCTACTCATTTATTCTGAATCACTCCTAGAGGCCGAATATTTTGGCAGAAATTGAAAAAAAGAAGCTGGAAAAAATTTGTGATGTGCACAAAGCTCTGGACATTAAGCACGTAGATAGTATTTGTTCCTAAAAGAAATCGAGCAGGGAGTGACCTATTGAAACAATAGTGTTTCTGGAGACTGCTCAGCTCCTCCTTCCTCGACACCGTCTGCCTTCCTCATCCGAACAGTATCGTGCAATTTTATATCTAGAGTATGACTGGCAAAACTGGAGAGGGGAGACAGCGTTTAGATCTGGTTACAGGAGCAAGTCTCAAAGAGAAACTCTGAAAGCTTCCAGAATCACAGGTGTAAGATAAGGATAGCACTGACATTTGCTGGGAGTTACAGTGATAGTTTCGTGTCAGCAATTCGCTTTTTCTCCCCAGTCACTGCTGGTTTTTCTTTGACTCTTAGAGTTGCCAGCAAGATTCTTGCTTTTCTTATTTTAAAACCAGCATTTAAGTGGCAAGTTGGATGTAATGGGATGAGACTAAATTTCTCAACTCTTTACAGTGGTAATCAAGTTAAGGATTAAAAATCTGCGTTTGTATATCCACATATGACAGCACAGTTTTCAATCCCCAAATCCTAGGCTGTGGAGCATGTGCTGTTGTCAAACATGGCCAAGTTTGCTTAGTTTATTGCATCATTTTGGGGGAGTAATTTTAAACAGAGAGCAAAAGAGGATAGAAATAACCTTTAGGTAACTTTAATTATAATTATTTGTAAAAAGGCACAGCGCTGCAATATTCAAGGTCATTTTGGTTGCTTAAAGCCTTTCTTTTTCAGTATGCAATGGGAAAGTCCTCAACCAAAAAGAAAAAGAAAAGGAATAAAACCACGCACAACACACGCCCACACACACATACCCCGCACGCATAGAGACACAAAACAAAAACAAAACTAAATCTGCGTTGAATTTAACAAAAAAAATGCATTGAATTTAAAGGGCCAATTTGGTATGCTTTTGCAATACTTCAGTAGCATTTTAACCAATTATCTGAATATTTATCCTCTTGTGAAGCTAACGATCTGCTTTTTTATTTTCTAAGATCAGGTTGTGTATATAATCGGGAATATAACCCTTTATTTAATGGCAGACTTCAGTTGCGCAGACTTCAGGTCTTAGTTTTTTTTTTTAACTGGTACACAAAACACTTTCATGCTGTCATTTCTGTAAACGTCGTAGAAAACCTTTATGCCTCATTCAAGTCGGGTATGAGCCTGGATGTCATAATACAAACACTGGAGTTTCGCTCACCTAAGCCCCCGCCCCACTTCAAACCATTCATTTATTTTTAAATGAAGTTTAGACTTGCCACAAGCAAACCTCAAGTAAAACCCAAAGCAAGGGATGCTTCCAGGTATCACTGTGAACATGTTTCTTTCAAGGTGTGAGTTTTTTACACTACCTTAAAAAACATAATAATGATGGGAGCACGTGGTTTTGTAACGTAGTGTCTTTGTTTTTGTTTTTGTTTTGTTTTTTTACCAAGACAATAAACTTCACTGTTTAGAACCCGCTGACACTCGATAGAAAAGCTGTCTGTCCTTCAAAACACGGCCGATGATGTACCACAATACAGTACATTCGTGCTCTCTCTCTCTCTTTCTCTCTTTCTAGTTAGATCAAGATAGCAATGACTTGTGCCCTCCCCGAATCCATTACAGTAGGACCGGCTCTCTAGCCTGACTGGCCTGGGAAGAGCTGTATCTGTAAAACAGGCCTGGTGTGTGCACGCTTTGCTCTGAGTGAAGTTCCTTTAAGGACAAAGAAAAGCGCACTTTGCTTCCTTGGAGCGTGTCTGCTTTTGCTTAAAATCTGCTAATTCTAAAACATACGCTCCTTCACCAATCCCAGAGTCTCCTCTTGGAAGTGAACTGGTTCCAAGTCTTTACTGTGAATAAAGCAGCCCCGCATTTTTGTGTCAGTTCTTAATTAAACCTGGGTAGCTTCTTTACCTGATCTCAGGAAAGGGGAAAAGAAATGGAGAAAAAAGCCCCTTCAAAACCTGTTCCGAGCACAAAAGAATGTTCCTTTTCTTTGCGTGGTATTAGATGATTCTGTTGGGGCGGGGATGGGGTGTGCAGAGACTGTCTTTGTCAAATGATTTATTTCAGCCTTTAAGGGGATTCAGGTGAAGGAACCCCCATCTGTGGTGGAGAGCTGGACGCTCCTTTAAGTAGCCCCATTCCACAGTCATAACAATAGTGATAATGCTGCATTATTTGTGACGGCAAGGTTGCCTCACATCCGCCGTGCTGTTTGCAGTATTCTCGCTTTCAATCAGTTTATACTAAGTGTAACTTTACGATTTCTACTCCTAAATGCACGCTCCCTATTCTGCTTCCGTTTCTAGCTCTGTTTCGTCTTTTCCAAAATATGCAGCTTACTCTTTTGTACAACAACGAAACTTTCATTCTGACTTTTAGTGAACATCCTGTAGGGATAATCATTGCTCTTCTTTCCTTTTCTATGTGTATTCCTAAAGATTTTTGGCCTACGAATGTAATAATATTGAAATCAGTGATGCTGTAACTTGCACTGCTCGCATTACGTCAGCCCCTTTCAGGGAACGAAGCAGCCGTACCGTCAAGTGTAAGCCCCTTGCTGGAGTGGATACACGCACTGCATGCTTCCGATGTGGCATTTTCATGTCCCGTGTTGGGTCGTTGTTCTAGACTGGACTGTTAAATACTATTTTTGAGGCTGGGTTGTCATTTTTATAACTGTCTGGGTGTTTTATCGCCATTATTTATTACTTTTGATATCCAGAAAGAGCTGCATGCATTTGTAGAGCAATAAGAGGATGTATGCAACGTGCCTTGTTTTTAACCGAATAAGAACCGAAAGCATGAATCAATAAAACTGATTAAAATGGTCCATTTGCTGGCGTTTGAGTGTCACTTACAGTCAGAGAAATAACTTTGATGGGCGTTGAAGTTTAAAAAAAAGTTTGAAAATATTTCCATAAACCAATTTTTTAACGGCACATACACATTAATTCTCCTAGCTTGGACTTTGGTTATTTTATCTCAAAACTGAATCCCTGCATAGACAGATATAATTTTATGAGACTGCCAGAATTATTTGTATTAATTTGTTGCTGGAGCCCTTAGGGCACAACTTCTGTATTTGTGCAAGCCCATTCTAAAATTGCATTCATCCCATTACAACTCTGTTGAATTCTTTTTTTTTTTTTTTTTTTTTTTTTTGTTCCTTTCTTCCCCCCTCCCCACCCCCCTTTTTTTGGGTCAACCAGAGCTTTTCAGCCTGAGCGTTCCCAGGCACACTGATGAATTTTATCATAACGAAAATCAATAGAAATGAATGGGAAAGATTACATAATCCATTTTGATCATCTTACATGTCAAGTTCGTGCAGTGCTGCCCAGTGTTGATAAATGCTCTGACAGAAAAAATGCTATATATTTTCATTGTCAGTAAATCAGTAAAGCTGTTATCAGTTTTAGCACAAATTTTATAATGCCCGTGTTATTTTATAGGTTTTAATTTACACGTGGATATGGAGCATATTCCCCATTTGTGGTTTAGATGCACTGCCTCCTGGTTTTACATGCTCAAAGGCATGTGAGTTTCTGAAGGTTCTTTGAAATTGTACGGAATACCCGAAAGCGATGGCTCCCAGACAGACTTGTAACAATGACCTGTTTGTTCAGTGCCTGGAAAAAAAGATATATATATATATTGCAGCTCAAAACATTGTTCAGTGATGCAGCTTATCAAATTTTATAGCACTTTAAAATTTGTCAACATAAAATTTGTCAAAATACATTGCTCCCAGTTTTCGAAATGTATAAAATTTATGGTAATCAAAAAAAAAAAAAAAAGGGAAACAGATACTAGCATCAACATTTGCAATCTTTGTCAACACTGCATTATCACCGGTGTCAGATTTCACCTGATGCCATTTGACTTGTAAAGGAAGGAGAAACATAAGTTTTTAAATTGATGTGGCACCCTCATAATCGATGTGGCATTCTCATACAGAGAATTTCTGTATAGGAGATGGAGTTGATGACCCTTTTGTGCCTGTATGTTGTATCTTAGGTCTCTAGCCACCAACCTTGTGAAATGCACGCATATAACATGAGGCGTGTGAGCTAATATGACGCCAGAGATAGTCCCACAAGGTCCCGTGCTAAGAAATTTTTGGACCCTTTGCAAAAAAGGGTCCAAACAAACCAAAACTACCAAACCAAAAAACAAACAAAAAACAAAACAAACAAAAAACAAACCAAAAACTACCTTTGCATTTCGTTTAATACCCGATCCAGAATAGTGAGATTTATTTGATCTAAGCAAAATACTGCTTTAGCAAAATCATCGGGGCCGCGTTCATCCTCCGCATTTGGCACTGAGTCGCGTTGCTCGGTAAACCCTACTACCATCGGTTCCCCTGTTAGTTCCCCGAATTCACATTGGAGTTGGATGTTAAGGTATGTATCCTGGAGTTGTAGATGGTATATCATGTTTCAGCGAAGAGAGAGGAGGGTTGAGTCTCATAGTATTATTAGACTGGATATTATTAGAGCCCGGCACATGCCACAACTGGTTCCACCAGCTTCTAAGCCATTCAAGCCCATTGTTGCATGTCTGT